TAATTCAGGATAATCGATAGTATTGGCACTGTTCTTACTATATTATTAATATAGTATTAGTTATATGCGAATAATAAGCATCTTCGAAATCTGTATTCGAGAGCCTAAACAAGATACTATCGATAGTGTTTACATTTTTATTACCCTACATTAGGTCTGAAATTAAAGTTTTAGTACGCAAGAAGACATCGAGTCGGTCAGCGCTTTTTTAATAACAAAAACGCGATATGTGCAATTCATTTTCTTATAGATATACAAGAGCACGCATCGAACAATGGACGATTGTCTCTTGAATTATCGTGGAATTATTTCGGCCGTTCCTTTTAAACCTGTCTTATTGTAAAATGAGTCCTTTGATTCTGTAATCGTTGCGAGATACATAATCGTTCGATATAAGGTAGATCATCGAGAATTGGATAATCGTAACTCTAACCGCCCTATAATCCATCCTGACCAATTTCCGAATTTTTCTACGGTATACACATGATGAGGAAAATACGTCGTGTCTTATCGACTCGTCTTTCCCAATCTTTTTTTGTCTCTCATTAATATTACGGATCAAATCTTTTTCTATACTTATTTTGTACTTGGTATGTCTTGTATTGCGTAAGGAAATTTTTAATCGATTGCCTGTAAAAATATTTACACGAACAATTTGTATCGACAAACACTTACGAGTATATATCGAAAATTATAAAAGATTTCAAAACTGCAATTGCAGAGGGAATGAGAAGTATAACCACAGGTGCTTCGTCATTTCTCCATATACACAAGCAACTCCCAAGATAGAGGGAAAAATACAGTAATTAGATAATGGAAAAAAAAGAAAAAATTATATTTTATCCTTCCTCCTACCAATCTTCAAAATGATTAAAATTTTTGCCACGCTGATACTCAACGACTGTAAGAACACCCACATCTAAGCGGATGGACAATAATAAATCCAATAGAGCGTTACCAAGTAGTAAGTGCTTGAAAATATTCCGTCTCTCCACTTTCGGACAATTACGTGAACCGAATTTTTTGGAGGTCCAGCAAAAGGAGTTTCTTTCATGAAAGCGAATAATAATTGCACTTGTTAAAATGGTCGCGTGATACTCGGTTTCCGCGATATCCCAGCCTAACGTCTCAATTTTAATGAGCACCCGCCCTCTCAATTAGACCACGCGTTCTATGTCTTTCCGATCCTTAGTTCTGTCCTTATTACGCGCGCTTGTTATCTTTCGCCCTATCGACCAGGTTCGCCTTTTCTCCTGAACCGTGGTGAAAAGAAAGACCGAAATTGCCAATACTTTTTTTTTTGATAATTGCTGATTGCTGAGATACCATCGTAGATCTTTTATTGCCTGCCTGGTTAGGGTTGTTGTGAAATTTTTATTTCTTTTGTCATACACTCGATTTTTCACACACAAACTCGCAAATGCTCTAGTAAAATCTCTACGAAATACTACGATGTGAAAGTAAAAAAAGAATTCTACCAAAAAACATTTAACATGGATCTTACATTCGTTGTGGAATCCGATAATTATAATATATCTTTGAAGGATTGAAATATTAATTTCCACGTACTTCCTGTAATGAAAGAAAAAACGAGCTTAAACGAATTTATATGTTTTCTTTTTTTCATTGTTTGTTGTTGTTGTTGTTACAATTATCCTTACCTTTGTTATCAAACATTGTTATACACAAATGTATTGAACAATAATTATTTTTATAATATTGACTAGAAATTTCGACAAGCAACTACATTGGTCTGACGGGGATTGAAAATTATGAGCTTCCTCATCGCATTTCTAGTAAGACATGCGAGTTCAAAAAACTTCTGATATACTCGGTAGCCTAAAGTGAAATAAGCTAATATATCGTGCGCACGTATATAGTTTTTATGCGGAGGTGGCTAATGCACTATGTCTTCTTTATTAAAGCGCATGCGAGCTAAATAATTATTATCAATTATTGAAAGCAGCACATCGAGATTGCAGTATCCTTAGGCTGCGTGGGCTACTTGATAGTGCAGTGATATACAATTACATTTATTTATAGTATTTTTATGTAGTGAAGAATGTCCCGTAATTTACGAATTACTTGGAATCATTTTATTAATTATAGAGAAAAATCAAGAAGAAAACTCAAGTTCTTAAACATTTTGTTAGTTATTTTCTTTTAGGTGTTCAAAAATGGTTTTTGAAGTTTTTGCAACATAATTTACAAATTTAAATAATGTTGCATTTTAATCGCACGTGTTTCTGCTATAATGAATGCCGTGGTGTGTAAAAATTACATTATATAATAAAATTAAAAAGGATAATAAATATAATGCAATTATTTGTATGCAAATACTATATATATAAGTATGCTATTGATTTGTGCTACATTTATAGTCCACAAAAGATACAATCTTTATTATTTCATCAAGATAGTACATTATATGTATAAACAACCTGTCATTCCTAATCGTTATGCATGATACTCTAATTGAATTTAATATTGAAATACACGTTTAATCTATAATTCATTTATTTTAAAGCTTTTAGTGCCGATTTGTTATTGTCAATTAAACATCATTTATAATTATATATTATCTTTCGGTTTTATTAAGTATCATAATTTTCATTAATGCTACTTTTCGATAATAGAAAGATTGTTCGACTCGTAATAAATAAAAACTGATATTTGAAAGCAGAAGAAAGTGAAAGCTTGTAAATAGTCTGTTAGAATTTTTTTTCAAAATTAATTAAGAAGACAAAGCATTGTTCGATAATGCATAGGAAGATAAATTAATAATATTCTGTGATCAATCGTTTCAAATAGTTCATAATAAAAGTGATTTCAAAAAATAAATTGTATGATTAATGATACCAACAATTAGCTATGAAGACTTCGTAGGTAAGGTACTAAATCGCGAGCCCCGGTATTTATCATAGATCCAATGAATGTATCTTACGCATATTTCCTGCACAAGGTTCATGCAGTGCATTTTTCTCTCCCCTCCGTGCTTCACTCCTCTCTTCACTCATTGGATGAATGCAAAAAATTATTAATAATTGGACACCTGACATTTCATTCGCTTGTCCCCTGGCTTCTTACTACGATCTACCAACCGGCCGAGAATTACTCACCTTTACGTGCTCTTTTCCTAGTGGGGTGATCAATTCGCGCGCACACACGTTCGGGCAAGCGTGCGTGCGCATTCGCATGTTATTCCGCACAATCGGATACATCTGCCCCATGCCTCTCGCCGTTAACTTTTCTATAAGCTTGAAGGAGGCTTTTTCTATATATCGCGTCCAGCGTACGCCTTCGCTCGTATGTACGTTGTCTCGCTGCCTGACGTTTTGACAAGTGAGCGCGGACGTATTATTTTTATTTCATTTAACTCGTGAAATACGCGGGGGCTTTTCCATAGGCGTTTGTGCGCACAATATGATACGCGCTTGCTCGTATCTACCGATATCACGAAAATTGCGTGCATTAAGAGGATTATTTGAAGGTGGAATGGACGCGACGCTGACGTGAAATGTTATGTTACCGCATGAAGATATCCATGCAGTATCACGGTATCGCAAGTGCGAAGTTTCATTTAAAATACCCCATTCGAAGATGAAATCGAAGCTTCGTGCACCTATTTTAATAAGTTAATGCGCAAAGCCGTTGGCACTAAACTTCAAAAGCTGCCTGAGCTACATATCACCTCCGACTTGAAGCTATCTCGCACGTAAATATCCAATAAAAACTTCTTTACGATTGCCAAAATAATTAACACCTCGTGAAAGCAACCGCGGCAAAAAATTCAGCGGCAAGCCTCGTATGTCTGGCAATTTTTCGCGAACCTACATCGAGACTTGCATGCATAAACAGATCCGTGTGCTGTAGCGAAGCTAGTGGCGTTTTAGAGGTTATCGATTTAATTGCGATCGCGGATAATGAAATAAATCTGCGAGGGCCGACCAAGAGGGAGAGGGAGAGAGAGAGAGAGGATACGCAACGCCTAGTGGCTCGTAGCGCGAGATAAGAAAAAGAGCAGCGGCGCATTGTACAAAGTCGCCGCAAGGCGTGCGCTTCGGAATTTATCGGAGTCGCGGACGTGATCGATTGCGCCAACTCCCCGTGTTCGCTTTTCCAGGACGGTCTCCCGGCCCCCTCGTTCGCCCTGCCGTCGACGCCGCCGCCGCCGCCGTCGCCGTCGGCCTCCCTCCCACCCACCCGCCCTATCTCAGTTTCGAGTTTTTCAATGTTTGTTCTACGGAGTTTATGGTGCGTGGAAGAAGAATTTATTAGCGACTCGTGGTAATGCGTTTTTCTTATTTATAATCTTGAGCATTACACCTCGACGAGGCTACTCCAGCTAGTGTGTCGACTTTACAAACAAATGGAAACCTTTGATAATTGGTTTTTAAATGCCGTGGTAGATCGCGGTATTTGTAATATTACGGCCATGATCCATCGTACCTGATTCAAGTGTGGCGGTGTATTACGAAAGAGTTCTTACTTTGTAAATTAATTAATTTCCTTGGAAGAGCTAAGGTAAATTCACAAGTTCCGAGTGGATCCTGGAAGATTAAGGGGGAATTATAATAATGTTCACGAAGCTGTGTGCGTCGAGAAATTTAAGTATTTATATTTATTGTGGTTGTCGTTGTTGCTGTCGTTATTATTGTTGTTTTATGTTGTGATTGTTGTTATTGTTGTTGTTATTATAGTGATAAGTATGTGCAACGATCGTCTAGAGATATTTTCGTAATATTATACACAATATTATGGACAATATGACGTGCAACGCTAAAAATCCAATTGCAAGCTCACCTTAGGGCCTATTTGTCCACATTACGGATCTCATGTGGTAGTTATTCAAGCATCGATTCATCTATTTTCAAATTTTCAGCAAAAAATCAACTTACATTAGTACAAACTAAAAAGTGCTAACTAAAAATAGCAGCCTTCCGCTGTTTTTGTTTGTAAAATTATAGTTTTTATATAAATAACGCGTCTTAATTTTACAGGAGGAGAGCGAGCTCTCGAGCAAGCGGTGGGCAAGTGCGCCCCGCCGCTCGAACAGCCCCTGCATCCTGGGGACTCCAACGTCTAGGGAGGTAAGTCAGTCGATTTATTATAGTTCCATGCTAATAAGTCTTCGCTCAAGTTTTTATCCAATTTACTTGCTTTCTTTCCCTGTATGAATTCGCAAGGGATTCGGTGTGTTATCGATTAATTAGACGGGGTTGTTATCGATTGTTCATGATACTTTCGTACTTCTGGATAATTTCACTAGACTTTAAATATTAGATCTATAGCGCCAACATAGTTCGAGCAATACGTACGAGGAAAATATTCATAGAGAAATTTTTTTATAGATATTTTAATGAAATATGTGAAATTAATTTCAAGCGATAACGTGTGGATTTGAGATAATTGGCTATTTTGCATTAATACTGTATACAGATATCGCTATAATCATGTATGAGTAATTGAGAAATTTGCATTAGCTACGTATCGATTATAATAAATAAACAATTATTGAAAGAAAATGGCAATAGCGATATAAAATATCTTGGAAAATGATGATTTTATGAAAATATCTTTGTATAATTCTATCGATTTTTCTCGGCAATAATTTCAGGCGAAGTGACGCAAATCTATTATTATGCACTTCAAGCCCGTCCGACCTCCCTTTCAGCTTACGTGTTGGTTTTCATCTTAGCTCTCGCGTAGCTTTAAATGATTGTCATTAATCTCCTTGAAAGTGAAGGAGGCGCGATCGCTCATTTGCCGATTTCACGATGTACGGAAATAAGTGACGACATTACGAAGGAAAAACAATGAGAGAAAGTGCGAAGATTAGGACGCAGATTTCTAATATCGTGTTTATCGACAGCGTAATATGATAACGCAATTCATTCGCAACCATATCGCAGATTCAGTTTGTTTGATCGGCACCTTAATTCTTTCTTTCTCACGTCATGGTGAGGAATTTATTTTCATTGTTCAAAATTTGTACTCCATCGTTGGTACGTTCTTTAGGCGTCGAGCGTCATTAGCTTGAAATATCTTATGTTATTAGACGTCTTTCATTACGAATACAACATCGATGCATCTAAGATATTGAAAAAGAAAAACAATTTGAATTTTTGCGAACAAAAAAAATTCAACGGTCGTTTACACAAAAGTGAATTTCTCGTACTTAAGCTGAATATTATATTGCATTTATCGTAAACAATGATTATTATTATATTATTAAATACTATTCTAAACAAAGAACTATCCATTCATTCACACATATATCACAAGCGAGAAATCGAACAATTATATTTTTATACTTCATTTGTGCTGATAATACTTTTTTATAATATTGACACGTAAATACATATAAAAAGTAACCATCGCTAAAGTACTAGTTGCTCAACAATAAATAATTCAGTACCTAAATTAAAATACAATATCATTTTGCCAATATAAGAAAACATACAGTGTTCCTTTTAATTCACAATAATTTATATTTCATTTTCATTTTAATTCCAATTACCTTTCTTTAAGAAAATAACGATGGCCCCATTATTGAAAATTAAATACAAAAAGTTTGACAATTATTTCCACTTAACAAACCCGTCAACAGGATCATTATACAGCTGAAAATCTTAGTAGACTAAAAAATATTGCAACCGTAAAATTATTTACCCATGTAAATTTCAATACAGCCAAGTAAATTGTAACACGCATTGCACAAAAATCTCCGTCCTTAAATTTAATTCGTTCGATCCTGGACTCAGACAGATATTTAAAATTCGCAATATGGAGAAGCTACGAACGAAATGGCATCATCCACTTCTCTCATTTGCATTTACGCTTTTCCTCGCTCTGCCAGTTCTATAATTTTTCTCGATCTCTTCCATTGCGCCTTGCGAGAGCGTAATGAAAAAACAATGCCAATCATACTCTAATACGCGCGCAAGATGATAATGATGATGATGATGATTATGATGACGATGATGATGCTGATAATAATGATGATGATGACATGAGTGCGATAATACGAGAAGGCGTACACGAGTGACTCTTTCGTGCTCCGACTCGTCCATCCCCCTCGCCCCTCTGCAATCCACCTTCTCTGCCTGCCGCGACCGTTTCTGCTCTCGCATAATTGCGAGGCGCGAAATTACTTTGAGCTAGGGATTTGTTTGGCGGACGAGGAGCCAGAGCCCGTATAAGTGGCATAAGTGCGCGTAATTATTGCCCACGTAATATGCTTGTGCAAATTAGTTATCTTTCTTACTCGCGTACGGAGCCATAATTTATATTTAGATGGATGCTGATCTTAAAACAAAGCCTATCCGACACTTGCACACATGGCCTTTCAATCTTAAACTAATGCAAAATGTATAAATAATATAAAGAAAACAGATATATTGAATTTTGTAAATTCTAATAATATGTCACGTTTAAATTACATTTACACGAAGAATAGAGCAGCGATGGTATTGTTGAATATTTTGATGTTTTGTATTTGCTATTTATTTATTTAAAATTTCAATAAAAATGCAAACTTTACAAGAGTACGTCGATATTTTTTCCAATCCATTTTCTCAAATAATTTCAATTAGACTGGCAGTTTATTATACCGTTTATTTAACGCTAACATTTATTACATGACAGACTATTCAAGTGCATTAGAGTTATGTACAAATACGAATTCAAGTACGTTATTGCTCAAGAGTAGTATCTTCAAATTCGGCATTTTCGTTTCTGTTCTATTCGCGAACGTGACTTTATGCAAGAATGGAAAATATTTTGTTCGTGGGCCACGAATCATTTTGGTACACGTGCGTGGGCAGCTTTTTATGCTCTACACCCGCGCTTCTGCATAAGAAACTTTGTCATCGTACATTTCATGTTTATCAATGGGCGCGCTCTATATAAGAAGAGAAATTTCTTCTTTACGACATGGTAAGTGTAAATATTGCCGAGAACTCCTTCACGTAATTCTTTATTTTCCGCTTACGCACAAGGCGTGTATAGATTTTTTTTTTAATACACTTTCAAGGGATTTAGTTTAAAAAAAAGAGTACGCAAAAAGAATCTCCTGATGATTTACGTATAGTTGAAATGAAAACTTTTACTATTTAATACAATTATATTTGGGTTTGAAGTTAAAATATCACGGATAAGTATAAAAATAACTTTTATATTAAAAATATATTAAGATGGTCAGCAAAATACTTAATTTCGAAAACTTACAAGGTTAAGCTGCGAGTAAAATTATAATCCATACTGACGTCTAGAGTTGCCAAATATAAAGATTGAATTATGTTATTGTAAAGATTGAGATAGAATATCATCGATTAAAGAAGAATCTTACGATTCATCGAAATCAATTGTTAAGCACCAGCGATACTAAATTTTCAAATAATCCAAATAAACGCGTGAAAGTTTCGCAAACTGGAGCTTCCAGGTGTAACGGGCAAAGACGGACGTTAGGGGCGCGGAGAATGATATCCAGGGAGGTTTTCCGCCATTTTTGCCGAATAAAACGGTTTCCGCGATCGGGCCGCACGTTTTTCAGACTCACGACATGAGGGGCCGATCGTGCGCATGCCCGTCTACTCGCTGCGGAATCGCCCTCCGCCTCATCTTCTTGGGATCGTGATTTCACACTTCGTGATGCGGAGAGTAAGGGCCGATGGTTCCCTGAAACCGCGTTCGTTGAATATTTCTAACTCGTGCATATCTCGCGCCGTATTCTCTATTCTTTCTATCCGTGGATTTGTCATCTTGGCGCCCGAGGGGATGAGACTTTTTTGCCGTGATGCTGTAGCTGGCATATGTGCACTGATTTTTAAAATTTCTCTTTTCACGTTGGTTGGGCTCCAATAGTCTTTTTATGTACGAACGAATTTTTATGCTGATAGATGTGATTTTTTGACTTTTAAAAGTGTAATGTATATCTACGATTAATATGAATGACAATTAATATGAAGTTTTTATTGAGAAAAGTGTGTTCCAATCTTTTTTTTATATGCGAGGAGAGTCAAATAAAGATCATATGAAGAATATTGCACAAACATTTTGAGAGATCGTTGGTTATTTGTAATAATGTGATTTAAGTCTCATAAATTAGATCCGCTTTCGTCATTAATTACTCATATATGTATATATTATTGCCAAATTGGCCAGTTTGAAAAGAATTTCGTAATTTCGTAGCATAACTCAACTGAAACATTACCGAATGAAAGAGTATATTACAATGCAATAACTGAAGTATATTTTAACATTATTTGACGTCTACTAGAGTCTAACAGTCACGAAATAGATTTCAATTTACCGTTTTGAAAGTTCATTACAGCGTTCAACGCTGTGACTATAAGAAATCAACTCTGTTTCCTAGACTTTCAATAGTAATCATAAATTATTTTTCTAATCATTCTAAACGCAAACAAATTCAAAGACTCTTTTGAGTTACTAATTGACTCAAATTTTAAAAAAAAATATTCAACAGATTTAAGGTCGGATAAATCTTAAATTTTTTATCGTTTGCAAATTAATTACTAATCATCTGCTTAAGTCACTCACTCAATTTTATTTTTGCCATTTGATTGGAGTAAGAAAAATACTTCTTAAATTGATACTAAAATAAGCAGAACTATATATTTTAATAATTTATAGCATTGTTACGAAAAGTATAATAATTATTGTAATATTTAATCTAGAAATAATTTAAGGATGACGTTAAGCTGAAAACTACGGAAAATGCGATAATAGACTTAATAATATAAAATTAAAATAATAAAATTTCTAGTTTCTTAAATGTGGATTTTTTTTCTTTTCACTGATATTATACAAATAAACAAAGGACATACAAATAAACGATATTAAAGTATTTCTATTGATACGAATTTTCGGTTTAATATAGAATCCTGCTTTCGTCTGTTTATTCGCAAGGTTTTATTCTTAAAGACAGATAAAAATTGTTTTATTACACCATTAAGTATCATGAGCATAAATAGATTTAAATAAAACTCTGGTATATTGAATTCATTGCAAAATAAACTTGTTCAAGAAAAGAATAAATATTATGTTCAAATCCATCAATGCAGGTAAA